AGTATGGTCAGTTTAACATAGACTGGTCCTGTACATCATCAGTTATTATGGTCAGTTTAACATAGACTGGTCCTGTACATTGTCATTAAGTATGGTCATTTCTACATAGACTGGTCCTGTACATTGTCAGTAAGTATGGTCAGTTTAACATAGACTGGTCCTGTACATTGTCAGTAAGTAAGGTCAGTTTAACATACTGGGCCTGTACATTGTGTCAGTAAGTATGGTCAGTTTAACATAGACTGGTCCTGTACATTGTCATTAAGTATGGTCATTTCTACATAGACTGGTCCTGTATATTGTCAGTAAGTATGGTCAGTTTAACATACTGGTCCTGTACATTGTCAGTAAGTATGGTCAGTTTACCATAGACTGGTCCTCTACATTGTCAGTAAGTATGGTCAGTTTAACATAGACTGGTCCGTTTAACATAGACTGGTCCTGTACATCATCAGTTATTATGGTCAGTTTAACATAGACTGGTCCTGTACATCATCAGTAAGTTAGTACTAGTACTGACAGTTAAATTTGAAATACAGAAAGTATTTCCTGACTGGCAATTGGTGGTTTTGCAATAATAAATTGATCTATTTTTTTTTATCAAGAAGTGATTGATACCATATTCTTTCCACAAGAAGTAGAGATAAATTTACTCTAACCCCTGTCTTAGTTTGAGTATGAACAGGTTCAACACATCTCGTGCTGATAAGAATCAATCAACTTTTTCTCTGTTTTCACAGGAACTTCTGTACTTTTGTATGTGTAATGCTAGCTATGACTTAATACTGGTAGGTTGAATGAATGAAACTCGACTCTTATCTACAGTTCAGAGATCTCTAAGAGATAACAGACACTGCCAGGTCGCCATGTCCTGTGCCAGGTCACCAAGTCAGTTGCCAGGTAACCAAGTTCATGATCCTTCTCCAGGTAACCAAGTTCATGATCCTTCTCCAAACAAGAAGCTCATGGACTTTCAGCTTATTTGTACCAGTGGCTCTTAAGAAGACTGAAATTTATTTTTCATTATGGCAGCCATATTGGATTTCACATTGACCTGAAAATTAACGACACTTGGTCAGGACCATTTCAGGATCACTATCAGGGAGGCAGCAATAACACCATATCAATGTCCAATTTTTCTAGAGTTGTTTTTTTTTTCTCTCTCAAAAATTCAAAGCTTATCCAATCAGATTAAATAATTCAGGTTGAGGGCATTCATTGTATACTCAATTCATACATCACCATTGACATCACCACATTGTTTTAACACCAACATCAACTTAGTGCTAAAAACACACACCTCCACTTTACTACTTTAACACTAGCATCAACTCACTGCTTTAACACTGGCATCAACTCACTGCTTTAACACTGGCATCAATGCACTGCTTTAACATTTGCATCAACGCACTTCTTTAACACATGCATCAACTCACTACTTTAACAATGGCATCAACTCGCTGCTTTAACATTGGCATCAACTCACTGCTTTAACACTGGCATCAACTCACTGCTTTAACACTGGCATCAACTCACTACTTGAACACAGGCATCGACTCACTGCTTTAACACTGGCATCAACTCACTTCTTTAACATTGGCATCAACTCACTGCTTTAACAGTAGCATCAACTCACTGCTTTAACATTGGCATCAACTCACTGCTTTAACACTGGCATCAACGCACTGCTTTAACATTTGCATCAACGCACTGCTTTAACACTGGCATCAACTCACTGCTTTAACACTGGCATCAACTCACTTCTTTAACACATGCATCAACTCACTACTTTAACAATGGCATCAACTCGCTGCTTTAACATTGGCATCAACTCACTGCTTTAACACTGGCATCAACTCACTGCTTTAACACTGGCATCAACTCACTACTTGAACACAGGCATCGACTCACTGCTTTAACACTGGCATCAACTCACTTCTTTAACATTGGCATCAACTCACTGCTTTAACAGTAGCATCAACTCACTGCTGTAACATTGGCATCAACTCACTGCTTTAACACTGGCATCAACTCACTTCTTTAACACATGCATCAACTCACTACTTTAACAATGGCATCAACTCGCTGCTTTAACATTGGCATCAACTCACTGCTTTAACACTGGCATCAACTCACTGCTTTAACACTGGCATCAACTCACTACTTGAACACAGGCATCGACTCACTGCTTTAACACTGGCATCAACTCACTTCTTTAACATTGGCATCAACTCACTGCTTTAACATTGGCATCAACTCACTACTTTAACAGTAGCATCAACTCACTGCTTTAACACTGCATCAAATCACTGCTTTAACACTGGCATCAAAGCTTTAACACTGGCATCAAATCACTGCTTTAACACTGGCATCAACTTGCTACTTTAACATTGGCATCAACTCACTGCTTTAACATTGGCATCAACTCACTTCTTATACTTCTCTGTAGTTATATGTGATAAGTGATATCACGTTAAAAACGTTATTGATTGTATGTATTGATACATTCCAATTAACGTTTCTACGCTATCCCGATATTCAAAGTCGATTTCCAATGTCCAGCTTCGCCACTTCTTTGGTTCATGAAACCCCTTTCAAATTTAGTGTCGATAATGTTTTTGAAAATGAGGCAGTTCAATTTGTAAACACGAACACATGATGGCAAGCAGAAATGACAGCAACAGTAGTGACACAGTAAGAAAAATGCAGTTTTTCAGCACTGGATTTTGCTATGGGTTTGGGAAATTTTATTTGATAACTCTAGGTCAATTCAGAATAAAGAATTAAGTGACATTAATCATCAACATTGTCGTGACCGATTCAAGCGGGAATTTTTTTTTTATATAGTAGTGATGGTGTCTTGTTTGCATGTGTTATCATATTTGACACAAATATTTACATATTCAGACTGTTGATCAACAGATAAGGATTTCCTTTTTATAATAATCAATTATCCTGTTCGTGTGCATATTTCAGCTAAAAGCAACTGTCATTGTGGATAAGGTGATACATCTAAGATATATATGTAATACTGAAACTTCAGTAATAATATATAGTTTTACCATGATGTCGCTTTAAAAAGGTTGATCTTTATGATATTTTGAAAAATTTTCGCTTGTAGACTATTTTTTTTGACGCTGAAGATGACGGCAAGATTCGGTTATAAGTGATAGCGTCAACAATATAAATGTTATTAGGTTGCTAAGGTACTTCTGTGGAGTATAACTCTTGGATAGACTTCAACTAAATTTTGCATGAATTATCACCACAAATCACTTATTTCAAAGTCGTGGTGAACCACTTTCTCAGGTTTTCAGGCCGTTAACAAATAAATCATCTTGTTTCTTGATATATAAAGAAACTGGCTATCGTGAAAACTGCAACAAATAAAGCAGAGACTCCTTTTTTTTGAATAATGAAAAGTATCCTAAAATATTTCTCTATCCAATCATAAAATCTTCTAAAAAGTTTAATACCAGAACATGGTTAAATAAAGGAATTCAGTCATTTTGTACATATTGATTTTTTGCTTATAAACTACTTTCTAAAAACCGATCAATCAAGAGGCCCATAAGGCTGGTATAGCTCACCTGGCCTTGCTTGGCTTCATGAAAACAGAAGGAAAAGGAATTCTAAATATCCAAACAATAATACAAGCATATCCATTTTCCTATTGGATCCTCAGGAGGTCAGTTAAACCATTCATAATTCAGACCAAATCATTCGAACAGGATAGGAATGATTTTAAAGAATTTGCCCTTTTTCCAATATCTATTCAGACCATATTTGGACAAAATTTAATCAATCCTACAGGAGGAGTAGGATTTTAAAGAATTTGCTCAATTTCATTTCTGTTGGGCCTTGTCCGACCCATCCACGGGGGAAGAGATCCACCATTTATACAAAAATGATAACCTTTACCCAAGAATGCTTCAGACAAAATTTGGACAAAATCCAATTATTTCTACAGTAGGAATAGGATTTTTAAAAATTTGCTCTATTTCCCTTATTGGGCCCTGCCATATATATGAAACTGACACCTCTTCCCCAAAGGATGCTTCTGACAAAATTTGGTCTAAATTTGCCCTGTCATTCAAGACTAGTAGTGATTTGTAGAAAAAGTTGACAGACACTAGGCTATGCCAATAAGCTAATCTGGCAATCAGAAAAAAAGTGTAATTCTGGAATATTTTTTACTTCTCATACATACTTAACACTAGCATCAGCTCATTTTCACTGGGATGATACTTTCTCTATTTTCCAGGGTAGAAATTTGTTTGTCAACATTTTATCCATGAAATAATAAGATACGTGTAAATATTAATCAGGATTTCATTAAACTGCAAGTAAAGGATGATATTCTATCATTAACACCACTCGGCAAGTTCCCATAATCCAAGGATATTTCAAGTACAATACAATGAATGGTATAAATGCTACGTGAGAACAATTATTTGTTACATTGTACAGAATACATTTACATACTTGCAATCAAAGCATTATATCAACAGTATAATGAATCATCACAGCATTGGACTGATAAACCAGTTATCATGTATTCAACACTGCCAGTAACATTTGTCTTATATCAAGATGACAAAATTTTTATTTGTGTTCAAATTTAATTCTTGTTTTGAAACGAATATCGCAAAAATTTTTTACCCATATACAGTGTTTCAATATAACAATTTCTTTTTTGATTGATTTTTCATTCCTTGTGCAAATAAAATGAATTTAGGTGAAAATATTCAATGTTCTAAGATTATTTCTTCAGTTGTTTCATATATTGAAACAATATGGTTTACATAACAGCCGAAATCTGTCTCCTTCAAAACATCAAGTCTGTGAAAAAGGGCTTAAAGGCTGTGATGACATATCATGATCAATTTTCATGTAAACAAAAACAGAATCAAAATCAAGGTAATAAAATCAAAAGCAACAAATATCTTGTTTATAATTGTGTTATATTTCAAAATAACAGATTACAGCATGTCTGGAAATGTTCTTTAAACATGATATATGAGAATTTTTAAATGAAAAAGATCTTCATATGTCATATATGTAGCACAGTTATCTCCCAGTCATGGCTTGTTATAAGAGAATCCTAATCAGCATTAGAATTGTCTGACATAGTTATCTCCCCATTTAATCATTTCTTTAATGTGACACAATAACACAGTCTGGTATAGAAAGGTTGTCTTCCATTCTACAATTATTTGTAGAAGTAGGCTCTGGTATTGATGAATTATCTCTTTGCTGATCAAAGCTTTCCACTCACTCAGTCCGGCATTGATGAGTTATCTCCCATTGATCCAACCTCTCCACTCCCACAGTGTGGAACAGATGAGTTGTCTCCCATTGATCCAACCTCTTCACTCCCACCGACTAGCTGGGATGAGTTATCTCCCATTGATTCAACCTCTCCACTCCCACAGTGTGGCACAGATGAGTTATCTCCCATTGATCTAACTTCTCCACTCCTACTGACTAGCTGGGATGAGTTATCTCCCATTGATCCAACCTCTCCACTCCCACTGTCTGACTGTGATGAGTTATCTCCCATCAATCTCACCTCTCCACTAAGACTGTTTGGTAAAGCTGAATCATCTCCCTCATCCCCAGGTTCAGAAGTCACTTCTTTCTTTGTTTTATTGCTACAGAGTTATAAATATAATGTATAATAGTAAATACATACACAAAGCTGTGACATTTGTGAAATTTCATATAGATATATGTCGTAGGGTCAATTAATTGGTGATTATTGTCTTGTATTCAGTTATGTCTGTTTAGGTGTGTCGCAGACAAATCTTACAATAGTGGTTGTAATGTTCCAAGTACTTATAATATGCTATGAAATCACGTGGCCCTATTTCCATTTGAACACCCCTGCTGCCTTTCTGTTAAACAAGTCTAGTGTTATGTCAGGCTTATTCCCTAACTCAACATTTCATGGTGGTACTTTTACAATATAAACTAGGCCTAGTCAGAGCAAATAATGTTCAATTATATTTTCCCTCATTTCCAATCAGCTGATTAAGTAATTAGATTGAATGATATTGTCTTTGTTGTTTACAGACAACCCAGTGTTTCTTCCATAATTTGGCTGTTCTGTTGATCTCACCAATGTTCCAACGATGTGCATTAGGTAACTTTATTTGTTATATGTTTCACAAATACCCATGGTTATCTAATACTAGCATAAGAATTGTTTGATCACACATCTAGGATTCAATTTCAACTCTCAGAGAAATATTTGTAAAGTCTTAAACAAATAGCCAGCTATCATTTTTTGGTGGCTTAAGGAATCTCAACTTTGCAGTTAATCTAAGAATAATAGTAAATATCATATACATCAAAATTCTGTAGTAAAGTTAATTACTTAATAACCTACCTATTTAATAAACTCGCTTTTTCCTTTTTCAGCTTATATTTCCTTCGTTCGTGTCTTTTACTTTTTAGGTGACCTGAAAAAGAAAATAAATCACATTTATCCTAACTCAGATTCTGTCTATCCAATCATATCAATATGTTATAAACCCCATGCATCAAGTATGTGTTTATTTCCACTGTGTTAAACATTAAAGTACTTGGTCATGGATTTTCATCAATAAATACTTTGTCTTACAACTATTTCACACATTAACAGCATGATAATGACTCACAATCCCTTCCATTAGTTATAAAGTAAACATCAAAATTAAGCGTAAAGGTGACAAGGACTTTATAGTCTTTTTAGTATCTCGATTTTTTTTTCCGCTTGTAGTTTTATGCCTTTGAAACATTGAATTATAAAGTATTGGACTAGCTCTAAATACTCACGGTTCCACTCCTGTGATGTGTAGAAAATACGTCCATCATTACAAATGTCACACACTTCATGAACTCGGTAGTTATCAGTCTCTTCAGAATGGATGGGGGCATGACGGGGTTCTCTCCCCTTTAACAAATACAAAATGCCAATCATACAACAAATGTGTACAAAGGGAGGTAAATACAGAAAAGCAGCTCGGCAACATATATATTCACCCACTGAATGAAATGTTTAAAGCCAAATTTAAAATAATACTCATGACAACATCTTGTGTTGGTATTGATGTAAAAACTGTTGATATCCATTTTCGGAAACATGCTCGTTGTTTTTTTCTGATCAGTCCCAAAATCAAAATGGTACAATTAGGGACAAAAGGAAACCTAAATATGATATGTAAGAAAGATCATTTCTAAATTTCATTAAGAAATAAAAATGACAAGAGTTCCTCAGAACTGTATGTGCAATGTTCGACCATAATGTTTCTATAACTCGAAGCATAAAGGAAAAACTGCGCAAAGCAATATTCTTGAGAAATTTTCCAACTTCAAAGGGACATATCACTGCCAAGAAGGGTTACAGACTGCCAAGAAGCAAACTTGGTGCATAACTTTTGACCAAGAACTCATACAAAATTGTATTTTGATAACTTGAAGCATAACGAAGAAAATTCCAGAAAACAATATTCCCAAAGAATTTGAGTTCAAAGGGGCATAACTCTGTCAAGAAGGGTCACAGACAGCCGGAAATCAAACTTAATCTGTACCCTTCCAACAAGAAGCCATGTACTAAATTTCATTTTGATAACTCAAAGCATAACCAAAAACAGTCCGGAAAACTTTCATATGGATGATGACAAACAAAGTGATCCCTAAGTGTCCGCCAGCTCTGCAGGCGACACAATAAATCCAAGTTGGCCACCGGTCAGCCATTTCTATTTTCTGATTGGTCCTGAAATCAAGGGGAACAAAACTAGGGACCAAAGTCAACCAACACATAAAGTTTGGAAAAGATCTGATGAACACTTCTGAAGAAATAACAATAACAAACGATGGATCACAAATACCAAAGTAGAAGCCTGTCAGCAATCCTGCTTACTGATCAGACACAAAATGGACGACATATTTCTACATGTTGAGACCACGGCAATGCATCTAATGAAATTTGAGAATGATTCATCAAACACTTCCAAAGAAACAGAAATAAGAATTGTTTGAAGTATGGATACTGGCTGCAGAGTGGTTGAGGGGATTTAAACAGAATACCATCTATAAATGGTGGGTTAAAAATGTAGTGAGATGTCACATTCAAAGATTTCATCATATTAACACATCAAATGAAAAGTAAGGTATGAAACAATACATATACTTGTGTACTTTCGAACTCCTCAATAAATCTCTTACTAATGGTAGATTTATATTAGCTATAATTTTATTTATGGGCACTTGACCATTTACCTGTAAAATATCTGTTAGGATTTCAACAGCTGGTGTCTTTACTCTATCCTCCCACTGAGAAACATCAGAGGCGTATACACCTCCCTGATCTGAGAAACATACACAGAGGCAATATATACAGTCCATATACAGGTAGTGTATAACCTCCCTACCCTGGTCATTATCCTGATCAATATATATAGAATGCATTAGGTCTATATGTAAAACCTCCCTACCCTGGTCAATATATACAGTTTACAACAGGTCTATACATCCTTTCCATCCTGGTCAATATATATAGGTAGTGTATAACCTCCCTGCCCTGGTCAATTGAAAAGGCATATACACAGGTAGTATAATAGCACCAGCCCTAGTCAATATATACCCTGGTCATTATATATAGAATACATCAGATCTTATATACAGGTAGTTGAAAATCCTTTCCATCCTGGTCAATATATATAGAATACATTATGTCTATACACAGATAGTGTATAACCTTCCTGCCCTGGTCAATTGAAAAGGCATATACACAGGTAGTATAATAGCACCAGCCCTAGTCAATATATACAGAATACAATAGGCCTATACACAGATAGTGTATAAACTTCCTGCTCCAGTCAATATATACAGAATACAATAGGCCTATACATACGTAGTATATCATCTCCACATGTGTCAATACATTCAAAATTTATTCAAGTGAATCTTTGAATTGAAATAGGAACAAATGAACTCCAGTCATTTCACTATTGCAGACTTAATCAGAAATATTTCTGTAATGTGATACTAACACACTTCTATTTTCACAGATCAAGCACTATCAGTAGTCTACTGCTATACCTGTTATAATCCACAAGGATAAAAAACATGAAGTTAGGACATTTAGGAAATGGTTGTGCTACATACGTTTGATGTATCTGTTGCGAATATGCTTTACTTGGTACTTAGCATAGGCCCGAGTTCTTTTCTTCAAATTTTCTACTCCTGTAAATAATAAAAAAATACATTTTGTTTATTGAGGATAAAATTTGTATTACCAAAGGTTAGCAATCCACATGGTCCTTTTGTTACCAAATTACAGATGTTAGTTAAAAGACTACATATTTACACAAACAACATCAGATGTATCCCACTTATCTAGAAATTAAGTTGTCACAGAATGTGTAAATTCTCAAACAAAGGTATTTTAACCTTTAAAAGGCATGTTCTTCATATACATGCTATTATAGCAAAATATAATTGACATTGTTATATGCTAATAAAGTGTAATGTAAAACTAGACTTAGTTAAATTAATTTGATGATAAAGAAGATTGAAAAATAAAAAACATGAGTCCCAAGGACATTAATGGTCACCCGAGTCACAATGCTTCTTGTAACATATTTTTGACCAACTCAACAGCCCCCTGGGTGTCAGCTGAGGTCAATATGTGCATCTCATTTAACTATCTTGAACTTAAAATAATAATTCTAACCAGGTCTGAGCTATTTCCAAGAGAAAATAAACAAATAATGTCCAACAAGAGGTCCATGGGCCTTGATGGTCACCTGATGACTTCAGGTCTTTGGAAAGTTATGGAACCTTTCCACAATCTCAGAATTGGGGCAGACAGAACAGGACTGATATATTTCCAAAGTATTTATTGTTTCTAAGTTTAAAGGCTTAATTTTCAATTAAACAGAACTGATAACACAGTCTGTTGTTGAAGTTAGCATATTTGACAACTGTGGCCCTTTGAATAAAGGTCAAGGTCATTAAGTTGAACAAAATTGGTAGTGCTTCATCCCAGCATGCTACTGGCCCAATATCATGACCCTAGACCGTTTGTTATTGAAAAGAAGTCATTTGAATTTTGTTTGATGTGACTTGAATTACAAATCAATCAATCAAATTCTAAAAAAGTTTATGTTTTCAAATTTACAAATTGCTTACAGAAGTATATGTTGTATTTCTACAATGACCATCCATCACTGATGATATATTATTTGAAAAAATACCGGGTAACAGGTGGACAATGATATTAAGATAAAATACATAACCTTCTATGTTAATAATATCGACCAATTGGCATTCACCTGAGTTTCTTAAACAATTCACTGGAGATATGTCATCCCATACATTTAAAAAAATCCTATTTGCTTATTTATAAACTTTGAGCAGTTTACCTATTAAATTGGAGTTTCACCCTGACCACACAGTACTGCAGTATATAAAAGGATGGAAAATGTGAGAAGTAAAAGACATTGATTTACGTTCAGTAGGTAGATACAGACTGATGTGACATACAAAACAAACTGTAGGTTATTTGTCTGTGTTATCATTTTGTACAAGCCTTGTTCTGGCCGCCATCTTCACATGGGATATTTTTTATAGTAACAACATGAATGTTTTGAACAAATGAGGAACAAAAACAGCACTCTATGCTTGTAACAGTAAGAGATTAAATTGCCCCTATTTGTTTAACGATTTTCTTTTACATAAATACTGGAAATCAAATTCCTGGGTAAAACTGGTATTTCTCTCATAGTAATAACTGTACTAAACATTAATCAATAACAGTTCTCTATATTGATACAGACTTTCCATTCTACAAATTAACATTATACATGTACCAAATTCATAAAAATCCATAATTAAAAAAAAAGGTGACCAACATCCAAGTCCTACCTTCTTTGAAGAGTTGCCTCCCCTTGTCTGTATTCTGCTCCTCCTTTGACAGAACCAGGTATTCATGAAATTCCTTGAAGCCTATACTTTGGAATATACCTTGTGTGTAGTCAGGCTCACTGCACTAACACAAAAGTGTTGTATTACACCAATGTATATTAATTGATAAGCATGATTTAAAATACAGAAAGTAGCTGATGTTGTAAAATGTGGATCGTGAATTTCAAAAAAACCCTTAAAATCCTGACCTGTGTATGATGATGATGGAAATTAAATTGGTACATGTCTGTAAATGACTGAGAAAGTAGTGATCATTAATGATGTAAGTACCATTACTATACTACTTTATAGATATTAATAAAGTTACGAGTACAATTTCAGTAAAATGAAAGCAAATGACTAGAAACAGAAAGTGGAGTGGACCCAGAGATACCAACCCTGGCATTTGTCAAATCATACACTAGGCCAATAGAAATATATTCTCAGTTCAAAAAACAAATTGGTTGATGGTATAAAACATTTCAATCACAAATTGATCTTTTTTAAAAATGAATTGTTACATGAATAACACAGGATGTACAGTTACATTATTTGAACTGTCCAATTTTACTTGCTATGTCTGGTAGTCTCTTTTTTAGCTGTTATGAGGTATGTCTTTCCAGTTGTAGGTCGTCAGGTTTGTAAGTAGGCAGTAATGCTAACAGCCAGTGATGTTCTGTGTATATACTTAGACGGTCACAGTGATTTTTGGAAATCAAATATTTTTAGTCCTGGGCTCATGATTTCCTGTAGGACCTATTCAAATTTTGAGCATCTTCTTTATCTCCATGTAATACCCTCATTAAAATCTTTTCATATGGCGCTCAGGACTCGCTAGAAAAAAGATCTTACAAAACTTACTGTGGTAAGTAAAGTAAGCACTCAGTGGTGGACTATTGAAGAAGTTACCTTTTCTCTTTCAATCGGTCAGCATTGTATTGTTGATGAAAATCCTGTAGCTCATCCACCAAGCCACGTTACAAATGTGAATACAGGCTTTCTAAAATTAGTTCTGAAGCTGAAATATTGTTGAGTTTGAGAACCCAAGTTTCTAAAATTCTGTATCCAGACTTAAAAATCCCACATACCCACATAGCAAGTGACTCTTTTTCTCCCACATGTACCCAAATACTTGACATAATACAAAACATTAATCAATAGAGCTGACTTTAATGCTAGTAATACAGTCCTCTCCGAGATCAAAACTATCTATTTTTATATGTGATGTCTATATTACACTTAACCATGCTTTCTTTGGTATTTTTGTGGAGATGAAAGATAAAATACAGATCAAGGAAAGCCTGTAATACCCATCCACTGAAGCTAAATATTCACCTGTAATAATTCCCCACTGAAGCTAAATATTACCTGTAATAGCCAGAAGACACAGGTGTGTTGGAATCTTAGAGGTCCACTGAAGCTAAATATTACCTGTAATATCCATCCACTGAAGCTAAATATAACCCCACTGAAGCTAAATATGACATGTAATAACCCCACTGAAGCTAAATATTACCTGTAATACCCATCCACTGAAGCTAAATATTACCTGTAATATCCATCCACTGAAGCTAAATATTACCTGTAATATCCATCCACTGAAGCTAAATATTACCTGTAATATCCATCCACTGAAGCTAAATATTACCTGTAATATCCATCCACTGAAGCTAAATATTACCTGTAATACCCATCCACTGAAGCTAAATATTACCTGTAATATCCATCCACTGAAGCTAAATATTACCTGTAATACCCATCCACTGAAGCTAAATATTACCTGTAATACCCATCCACTGAAGCTAAATATTACCTGTAATACCCATCCACTGAAGCTAAATATTACCTGTAATACCCATCCACTGAAGCTAAATATTACCTGTAATACCCATCCACTGAAGCTAAATATTACCTGTAATAACCCCACTGAAGCTAAATATGACCTGTAATACCCATCCACTGAAGCTAAATATGACCTGTAATACCCCCACTGAAGCTAAATATTACCTGTAATACCCATCCACTGAAGCTAAATATGACCTGTAATAACCATCCACTGAAGCTAAATATTACCTGTAATAACCCCACTGAAGCTAAATATTACCTGTAATACCCATCCACTGAAGCTAAATATGACCTGTAATATCCAACCACTGAAGCTAAATATGACCTGTAATACCCCCACTGAAGCTAAATATTACCTGTAATACCCATCCACTGAAGCTAAATATTACCTGTAATACCCATCCACTGAAGCTAAATATTACCTGTAATACCCCCACTGAAGCTAAATATTACCTGTAATAACCCCACTGAAGCTAAATATTACCTGTAATACCCATCCACTGAAGCTAAATATTACCTGTAATACCCATCCACTGAAGCTAAATATTACCTGTAATAACCCCACTGAAGCTAAATATTACCTGTAATACCCATCCACTGAAGCTAAATATTACCTGTAATAACCCCACTGAAGCTAAATATTACCTGTAATACCCATCCACTGAAGCTAAATATTACCTGTAATACCCATCCACTGAAGCTAAATATTACCTGTAATAACCCCACTGAAGCTAAATATTACCTGTAATACCCCCACTGAAGCTAAATATTACCTGTAATACCCCCACTGAAGCTAAATATTACCTGTAATACCCATCCACTGAAGCTAAATATTACCTGTAATACCCCCACTGAAGCTAAATATTACCTGTAATACCTGTAATACCCAACCACTGAAGCTAAATATTACCTGTAATACCTGTAATCCACTGAAGCTAAATATATTACCTGAAGCTAAATAACCTGTAATAACCCCACTGAAGCTAAATATTACCTGTAATACCCATCCACTGAAGCTAAATATTACCTGTAATACCCATCCACTGAAGCTAAATATTACCTGTAATACCCCCACTGAAGCTAAATATTACCTGTAATATCCATCCACTGAAGCTAAATATTACCTGTAATAACCCCACTGAAGCTAAATATTACCTGTAATACCCCCACTGAAGCTAAATATTACCTGTAATACCCATCCACTGAAGCTAAATATTACCTGTAATACCCATCCACTGAAGCTAAATATTACCTGTAATATCCATCCACTGAAGCTAAATATTACCTGTAATAACCCCACTGAAGCTAAATATTACCTGTAATATCCATCCACTGAAGCTAAATATTACCTGTAATACCCATCCACTGAAGCTAAATATTACCTGTAATAACCCCACTGAAGCTAAATATTACCTGTAATAACCCCACTGAAGCTAAATATTACCTGTAATAACCATCCACTGAAGCTAAATATTACCTGTAATAACCCCACTGAAGCTAAATATTACCTGTAATACCCATCCACTGAAGCTAAATATTACCTGTAATACCCATCCACTGAAGCTAAATATTACCTGTAATACCCATCCACTGAAGCTAAATATATAATACCTGAAGTAATAACCATCCACTGAATAAATATTACCTGTAATATCCATCCACTGAAGCTAAATATTACCTGTAATATCCATCCACTGAAGCTAAATATTACCTGTAATAACCATCCACTGAAGCTAAATATTACCTGTAATAACCCCACTGAAGCTAAATATTACCTGTAATAACCATCCACTGAAGCTAAATATTACCTGTAATATCCATCCACTGAAGCTAAATATTACCTGTAATACCCATCCACTGAAGCTAAATATTACCTGTAATACCCATCCACTGAAGCTAAATATTACCTGTAATATCCATCCACTGAAGCTAAATATTACCTGTAATAACCCCACTGAAGCTAAATATTACCTGTAATACCCATCCACTGAAGCTAAATATGACCTGTAATAACCATCCACTGAAGCTAAATATTACCTGTAATACCCATCCACTGAAGCTGAATATTACCTGTAATATCCATACACTGAAGCTAAATATTACCTGTAATATCCATACACTGAAGCTAAATATTACCTGTAATAACCATCCACTGAAGCTAAATATTACCTGTAATAACCATCCACTGAAGCTAAATATTACCTGTAATAACCATCCACTGAAGCTAAATATTACCTGTAATAAATATTACCTGTAATACATGCCAACTGTTAAATATTACCTGTAATACAGAAGTTAAATATTACCATGCCAACAGGTGCTAAATATTACCTGTAATATCCATGCCAACTGAAGTTAAATATTACCTGTAATATCCATCCACTGAAGCTCAATATTACCTGTAATACATGCCAACAGGTGTTCAATATTACTTGTAATACATGCCAACAGGTGTTCAATATTACCTGTTATACATGCCAACAGGTGTTCAATATTACCTGTAATACATGCCAACAGGTTTTCAATATTACCTGTGATATACAACAGGTGTTCAATATTACCTGTAATACATGCCAACAGGTGTTCAATATTACCTGTAATACATGCCAACAGGTGTTCAATATTACCATGCCAACAGGTGTAATACATGCCAACAGGTGTTCAATATTACCTGTAATACATGCCAACAGGTGTTCAATATTACCTGTAATAATACAGGTGCCTGTAATACATGCCAACAGGTGTTCAATATTACCTGTAATACATGCCAACAGGTGTTCAATATTACCTGTAATACATGCCAACAGGTGTTCAATATTACCTGTAATACATGCCAACAGGTGTTCAATATTACCTGTAATACATGCCAACAGGTGTTCAATATTACCTGTAATACATGCCAACAGGTGTTCAATATTACCTGTAATACATGCCAACAGGTGTTCAATATTACCTGTAATACAACTGTCAATATTACCTGTAATACATGCCAACAGGTGTTCAATACATGCCAACAGGTGTTCAATATTACCTGTAATATTACCATGCCAACAGGTGTTCAATATTACCTGTAATACATGCCAACAGGTGTTCAATATTACCTGTGATATACAACAGGTGTTCAATATTACCTGTAATACATGCCAACAGGTGTTCAATATTACCTGTAATACATGCCAACAGGTGTTCAATATTACCTGTAATACATGCCAACAGGTGTTCAATATTACCTGTAATACATGCCAACAGGTGTTCAATATTACCTGTGATATACAACAGGTGTTCAATATTACCTGTAATACATGCCAACAGGTGTTCAATATTACCTGTAATACATGCCAACACCTGAGTGTGTTCAATATTACCTGTAATACATGCCAACAGGTGTTCAATATTACCTGTAATACATGCCAACAGGTGTTCAATATTACCTGTAATACATGCCAACAGGTGTTCAATATTACCTGTGTTCAATATTACCTGTAATATGCCAACAGGTGTTCAATATTACCTGTAATACATGCCAACAGGTGTTCAATATTACCTGTGATATACAACAGGTGTTCAATATTACCTGTAATACATGCCAACAGGTGTTCAATATTACCTGTGATATACAACAGGTGTTCAATATTACCTGTAATACATGCCAACAGGTGTTCAGTATTACCTGTAATACATGCCAACAGGTGTTCAATATTACCTGTGATATACAACAGGTGTTCAATATTACCTGTAATACATGCCAACAGGTGTTCAGTATTACCTGTAATACATGCCAACAAGTGTTTGATATTACCTGTAATACATTCTAATTATCATCTAAAATAAAACTACAAGTGTTTATACATATTAACAGCATTGATAATATTTTGTGTTTATATTAAGAAGAGTTAATTATCATAACAACATCGCTGATGAATTAATTATCTGTTGATGGTTTGTTTACCTGATTATCTTGCGTCTATTATTTCGGTGGATCATTAGGGCCATCTCTGGGTCCACCTCCTGAAGACGTGCAAACAGTACATCAGATTCCACTCCATTGTATTTTTCCCAATCCAGCGATGTTCCATCTCCATATTCTTTTAGTTTGTCTTTAACAGTAATATTCTTTCTGTCCAAATCAGAGTTTTCACTGTCACGGTTTATTTGTGGTTCTTGTATTTCTTCTGGTATTAGAACTCTGTTTCCTTGAACATATGAAGATGACTCTTTCGCTTGCTGTCCATTCCCGAAAGAAAAGGAAGACAACTCGACTTTACTCGTCAATTCTATCGGTGGTTCAGTCTGGAACAGCTTCGTTTTTTTGGCTGGACTTTGGCCCTCCTTGAGTGCTTTCTCAATATCCTGTTGAAGCCGAGTACATTATTACACTTAAATTTTACATAAGAAAAGTGTCCAAACTGATAAAGTTCACTTGTTAATTACTTAAACAAGTTTACACATGATTTGTATTACACTGCAAGTTCACCACGACCAGCAGCACAGGTATTATCATATTTCATCATCTGTTCATCCCTGTAATAACTGTACAGCTTACTCTGATTTCCCCTCGTTTTGTTGAAGTTTTTTAATGTATATTTGCAGAGTCATGTACAAAATTTTATCTGTATTTTGCTATTTCATTTGACATGTTTCCTGCAAATAATTTTAACCATTTGTTAACAAGTAACAATATCTGTCCTACTCTCACATCAAACTAAGCATACTTTTAGCAAAAACTGTTCTGATTTATCATTGTGATTTATGGAGAAAAGAAGCTATCTTCGTATAATGAAAATGACAGTGTGTGTTTCTAATATAAATTGTAACGGATTGGAGAGCGATTAACAACAAGAACAATCCTGATATCATATGTCTATCAATAAACAGATCATGGAAAGCCTACACATGACCAGGCAGTTGTAGTTACAATTTAGGAAACACACACAATGAGGTGACCATTTGTACATGAAGATATAGGAAATGTTGATTTCCTCCAGATGTGTATTGGTAGGATTGTATCTGGTCACCATGTTAAAGCAGCGATAATTTACACCAAACAACAAGATACACCACAAAAACATCTATCAATGTTAGTGAGAGCAAGCGATGACATACACACTAGAAAACATGCCAGTTCAAGTCCCACTAATGGCTTCCACAGGGACATTCTGAGACTTAAGTTCTAACAGTGGGCACACATGTCCTCGGTTAAAATACATCCTACATCCCCCTAACCTTAGTGAAATGATGTTGTGAGGAATCGCATCCTTCTGATTGTCATTATTCAAGAAGTAATTTAGAAAAATTGTTTTTAATAAGTAAATTTAAATACAGATAAATGTAAGTTGTGGAAATTTTGTCAATGAAACAGAAAGGAATACACAATTTCTTTAATGCACAAACATTTTTAAAATATTGAAATTATTATAAATAATTTGATTTTATGGCTGCAGATTTTCATGATGTTCGTTGTTTAGACAAGTTTATAGTGCTTAAGTTTCAGAAATTTTTGTATTTTGTTATTGTTTTATGAATAAACATGTTCATGGAAAGTAATTTCCATCACTGTTCTATAACGCGAATTCATGAAAATAAATTGTCAATGAATAATTGGTGGTTTATAGTATATGAATGTATCCAGAGAGAAAAAATGAAATGCAAATGTATCTCCTTAAATGAGACCATTTTAAATCTAAAGATCAAACTAAACATTAGCAATCAGTACAACTTTACATACAGAAACCTTAGTCTCATTTTTGTTTTATCCTGAGTATGTGTATTTGTGTCGGTGGGGCAGATTCCCAGTGGAGAGGTCATTAGATTCGGTGTAGGGAGTGGGGACAGGGCCTTTGGGAGTAACAAGAGGGTAAGATGACCTAGACATGGCCCCAAAAACCTGGACCTGGAAAGGATGACACATCAACCACATGGAGCAGCTGGTCCCCCATTTCTTGTCCTAGTCTCTGAGGGATTTAGTAGAGACTATCATTAACAGAGGAGATGTTTTTACAACTGCTCTCCATTACAGCTACCATTCCTACCAGGTCATCCTGTAGACCTCTTTATTACTTAGCTCCCACATAAATCACAACATCTCCACAAAATCACCTACATCCTCCTCTGTATGGCCAGTCTGACCATCATACACCACTCCTGTCATCAGTAGATCTAAGACCACTGACCATCATAAACTCCTCCCTGTCACCAGTAGATCTAAGCCCACTGACCATCATACACCACTCCTGTCATCAGTAGATCTAACCCCACTGACCATCATACACCACCCCTGTCATCAGTAGATCTAGGACCACTGACCATCACACACCACTCCTGTCATCAGTAGATCTAAGATCACTTTCACACACCACTCCTGTCATCAGTAGATCTAGGACCACTGACCATCACACACCACTCCTGTCATCAGTAGATCTAGGACCACTGACCATCACACACCACTCCTGTCATCAGTAGATCTAGGACAACTGACCATCATACACCACTCCTGTCATCAGTAGATCTAAGACCACTGACCATCATACACCACTCCTGTCATCAGTAGATCTAGGACCACTGACCATCATACACCACTTCTGTCATCAGTAGATCTAGGACCACTGACCATCACACACCACTCCTGTCCTCAGTAGATCTAAGACTACTGACCATCACACACCACTCCTGTCATCAGTAGGTCTATGATCACTATCACACACCACTCCTGTCATCAGTAGGTCTATGATCACTATCACACACCACTCCTGTCATCAGTAGGTCTAGGACCACTGACCATCACACACCACTCCTGTCATCAGTAGATCTAGGACCACTGATCATCACACACCACTCCTGTCATCAGTAGGTCTATCACACAACTGACCATCATCACACCACTCCTGTCATCAGTAGATCTCACACAGACCACTGACCATCACACACCACTCCTGTCATCAGTAGATCTCACTATCACACACCACTGACCATCTATCATACACCACTTCTGTCATCGATAGATCTAGGACCACTGACCATCACACATCACTCCTGTCATCAGTAGATCTAGGACCACTGACCATCACACACCACTCTTGTCATCAATAGATCTAGGACCACTGACCATCACACACCACTCCTGTCATCAGTAGATCTAGGACCACTGACCATCACACACCACTCTTGTCATCAATAGATCTATGACCACTGACCATCACACACCACTCCTGTCATCAGTAGTTCTAGGACCACTGACCATCACACACCACTCCTGTCATCAGTAGTTCTAGGACCACTGACCATTATTTATGACATTGACCACCAATTACTATAACATAGTCAGTAGATTTAGAACTATTGCATATGATATATATCATATCTATTTAATTACTTTACAATCAGTAGTAACAAACGTCTATCTTGTTTAACCTTTTTAAGTCACAATATTAGCTAAAAAAACAGTTACATGCCCAGGACAAGTGTCCCTGACATATTATAAACCTTGAAATTTAGGGATTGGGGAATTTACAGTAAATACATGTGCTGTATAAATTTCGCCAACAGGTATGAATTTGTGAGGTATTACATACCTATCAAAATATACACCAAATATGCAAAGGTTCACCAAATGCAAAAATAACCCCAGTGCACACAGCTAATTTATTGAAATTGTAAAAATTAACCCCCTGTGGAAATTTCCACACTTACAGTAACTTACACTGACCAATAGACTTGTCTTGAATTTTAAAGAAATATCTCGTCAGCAGGTTAGTTTGGTACTCATTACTACCTAGGTATACACAAATCAAAGCCTTATACATGGTTACCTAGCAGGGACATTTTGTATATATCAATTATTCTTTGTTATCCAACAACTTAATGGACCAGTACACTCGATATATGGAAAATACTGCTTTATAATTATAGTTTTGATTACTGCATGTTACCTGGCTTCATAGATCTATAGTGGTGTGTTACAGGCATCTGTAAACAATGCCTGATGCTTGACTGAAGTATGAACACATACATCACTAGTAAATGAATCCACTTTTAATTTATTAATTCAGAACATCAGCAGAGTTGTCTCCTTTTGTTTGCTTGGTAATAAATATTGCCTGTTTCCATATGTTAAAAAGTCAGTGGCAAGTTTCCATGTCAGAATATTCCTAGGAATAAATTCATCATAGCTGTGCTACTATGTCTTGGATTCATGCATGACCAAATTTTTGGTTCCAGTAGGTGATTCCCTAACGCTTGAGAGACATCCTTCATAAATACCTAGCATGCCCCAACAGTGTTACATGTGTCCTGCTTAACTGTATTCAATAGCTCAGTCTACACAGGACATGTTTATAAAGCAATTATACATCATACTAGAGCATCAGGCTATCAAGATTACCCATATGCCTGTGGTGGCGATAAGCTACCAATTAATCTTGCCTGACCATGGCTTTATAACCCTTCTATGATGCTTGACATCCTCAGACAAATTGCTGTCAATTGAATCAAGGGTCTGCTATTAATTTTACTGATGTAATGTATCTGGTATATAAGCTTGTTAAAATTTCACCCCTCATTGGCAGAGGGCATTTATGGGAGGGGAAATTCTGGTAACACAGTGGGGGGGGTTACAGAGGTTGATGAGTGGAGGTTGATATCGGAGTTCACACCCACCACAGACCTGCTGCCAACTAGTACTATAAAATAAAGCTGTGACCTAGCTATACCCCAGACAAGCTAGTAAGAAATGAATAATGCTGAAATCAAATTTAAACACAATGAAAAGTGTAACTGAGCAGCATAGATTTATAATGATATTGACATCACAACCGGTCCTCAGATATACTTGGTTAGGTTTAACATTGGTTAGACAGATAAATTCTTGGTTAAGTTTACTTATCCTTAGTAAGGTGTATATATTTTTGGTTAGACTGATGAAATCTTAGTTAGTATTCTTAATCTTTGTTAGGTGTATATAATCTTGGTAAGACATAAAATCTTGGTTAGGGACACTTAACCTTGGTTAGGTGTGTATAACTGGGTAAGACTGATAAAATTTTGGTTAGGTATACTTAACCTTGGTTAGGTGTGTAAAACTGGGTAAGACTGATAAAATCTTGGTTAGGGACACTTAACCTTGGTTAGGTGTGTATAACTGGGTAAGACTGATAAAATCTTGGTTAGGGACACTTAACCTTGGTTAGGTGTGTATAACTGGTAAGACTGATAAAATCTTGATAAGGTATACTTAACCTTAGTTAGGTGTGTATAACTGGTAAGACTGATAAAATCTTGATAAGGTACACTTAACCTTAGTTAGGTGTGTATAACTGGGTAAGACTGATAAGTTACACTTAACCTTGGTAAATTGT